CCCGTGTCCCCTGCATCGGCAGGCGGACTCTCAACCACTGTGCCACCAGGGAAGCCCACAAAGTGTTTTTTTAATAAGTGCATGGAAGAAGTCTGATCTGATGGAGAGCTACTGCTCTACAGGGTAAGACACTCAAATACACAGATAATGTTGGCATCTCTGCTCCATAGTAACAACATCAGGGGTAGCCTAGCATCATTAGGTAAGGCGTTGAATAATGCAAACATAATTTTTTACAAAATTACTCTTTCTCTGAAATATACTTTCCAGTCCTCTTTTTGGGGGCCACAAAGGAGAAACTCAGGCTAAAGGAAATACTGCTGGTCAACGAGATGCAAAAGGAAATAATGCTTTTCACAGGAAGCTTTCACAAAAAGGGAACATGCAGGCAGGGGGGGCTGAGAGTTGCTTAGAGCAAAACCCAGCTGGCAAGTTAGTGGATAGGAGAGCAAGAATATTTGAGTGTGTGCTTAGCGCCCCTTTGATAGACACTGCCATAGCTCTCCTTCTAGAACTAAGTGGATAAAACATCTGGCACAGAAAGCCTTCTTCCCTGACCAGTGGAATTTGACAACTGTGGTTTTAACCTAAGAAGTAAAATTAAAGACCAGATTGAAATTAGGAATTGTGCTGACGGTTCATGGGTGATCGAGGCCAGAAAGGTTGCTAGGGACAGAGGTTCAGGACTGTTGTGGACTGAATATATGTTAGATTCTCCCCAAAACTTCAGAGTTATCATTCTCTTAAACAAACAAACAAAAAGGCTAGACAGATATACTCAACCACTGGGGGAAGGGAAGGAAACCAAAACAAACAACAGCAAAAGGAGGACGGACACATCAGGCAGTTGTCCAGAGAAAAAACATTTACTACCCCCCAGTGCTACACCCCGCCCCCCAACGCCAAGCCCTAGTGTCTCACATTAATTCAGAGCTTAGCTTTGAGAAGGCCAGTGGATGGTTCTAGAGCTCCATGTTGGGACGTTTCAGCCACCAGTTAAAATCTAGCCCTAGACCAGGACGTTCCTAGTCTAGGGAGGCTCCTTGAGCAACCATGAAAGAAATGACTTGGTGATGTGACCACCTCATCTCGCAGAGTAGGTCTCTAATTAGCTACACCAGTGAGCATTCCAGAAAGCCCATGCCTATGGCATTAGTCCTAATGACCACACCCCCTCAGTGCTTGCTTACAGGCATATCCTCTGCTCTCACAAAAAGAATCTAGAATTGGGGGCTTCCCTGGTGGCGCAGTGGTTGAGAGTCCGCCTGCCGATGCAGGCGACACGGGTTCGTGCCCCGGTCCGGGAAGATCCCACATGCCACGGAGCGGCTGGGCCCGTGAGCCATGGCCACTGAGCCTGCGCGTCCGGAGCCTGTGCTCCGCAACGGGAGAGGCCACAACAGCGAGAGGCCTGCGTAATGAAAAAAAAGAATCTAGAATTGTACTTTGCCTCACAATTTTACCTTCTTCCACTTCTTAGATTCAGGATGCCTTGATTTTATCTCCAACAGTGAAACATTCTATTGCTCCTTCAAGGTAATAGTTGTTGGCCATCTCTCCCTCCCATGAGCTTCGTCAGCACTTTGTGTACGTAATTCACTTGGGTCTAGAGCACCCTACAGTTATCTGTGAGCATAAGGCTAGAAGCTAGTGTTAATATGGAACAGGAACTTTATGGGGTTATCTTGCATGTGTGCATATTATTATCTCTATTTTATAGAAAACTAAAACTCAAGAGACATGTAAATTGCCACACGATCTTTCAAAACGTAAGCAGTGGTCCTGGTATTTGAATTTTGATCCAAAATAACCAAGTTCGTAACCACTGCACAGCAACTTTCTTTATGAGGTCCTGGAAGGCAGGATCTTTTATGTTCCCAAGTCACCTAGTGCTTCTCCTTTTGTTATTCTTCTTATGCATCCAATATCTGCTTTTCCCATTAGGTTATGTGGTCCATGGGGACAGAAATGGTGTCCATGTTTTCCATTCTGCCCCTAGTGCCTAGTGGCATGCCTGGTACAAAGGACTAAATAGCTGTAATGCTTCCAGTTCTTAGAACTACATCTTGGTGTTTACAGAAGGGCATTTGGACTCTTCATGTGTAAGTACAAAGTATCTTTTTTCAATTATTTATAAAATAAAGTCAATCTCAGAAACTACAGAAAGGGAAAGGGAAATCATTCCTATTTAAAGTATTTACTGTGTTCAAGACAATAAAAGGTTTCTGTTTTGATAATGCTGTATCATTGACCATTAGTAGATACTGTATTATCTAAATATATATCTTCAACCATATACAGACCAGATATCAAAACATTTGTCTACTTATTATTTTGAAACACTTATTATTAAGTATATATATTATTTAATGGAAATTCTAAAATTTAAAAGTTACTGATAATATGTTTATTATGAATTAAATCTTTGAGAGCATATAAAAGGCTAGGAAGAATAAAAGGGTACCCATTTTAATAGCAGAATTATTTATACTAGCCCAAAACTAGAATGATTAAGTCAGTTGTGGTGTAGCCACACAATGGAATACTACACAGCAGTGAAAATGGATGCGCTTTTGTACATCCAACACTGGAGACGATCTCACAGTAGAACCTTAAGTGAAAGCAAACAGATACAAAAAAGTACATAAAGTTCATTTATATAAAGTTCAAATATAAGCAAAACTCATCTCTGGCATTAGAAGTCAGAATATTGATTCCTCTAGCCACAGCCGTAGTGGTGACAGGGAGAAAGCCCAGGAAGCTTCTAGGGTGCTGGTAATGTGGTGTTCTTTGATCTGGGTGCTGGCTCACAAGTGTTCACTTTGAGAAACTCAAACACTTAAGATTTGTGCAATTCTCTATGTGTGTCCTGTTTTAATAAAGCTTCACTTTTTAAAAAGTTCTCCATACTATCCATATTGGTGGAGTTATTTTATATAATATACATATATACATACACACATACACATATAGGTATTATCTGTAGTGGTACATAAGATTAGCATACTTAAGTGTGGACTCCTGTTAATCTACCTTTTCTTTAGTGACTTTGCTATTTATTTACTTATTTATGTTTGTGTGTCCCAGGAACTAATTGGAAGACTTCCTAGCCTTTCATTCACTCTTTGTGGGTTGGACATTGATATTCATGCAGTTACTGCAACAACTTCCAAAACACATATGTGGCTTAAATATGGATTTTCCTATCCTTTCATGAATGTCTGATTCATGTCTCAATGCATTCCACACTCTAGTGACATAAAGGAAATAAGCCATTGGTCATAGAATAATCTACGTACAAATCTTATTAATTTGATTGGTCAAAATCCAAATTAAAAACAAAAAAAGAAGCTAAAAGTTACAGAGATTCCTTCTTTCCCAAATTGTATGTGTAAAATAACTTTTAGCTCTATTTAGTGCTGAACTTCAATTATTTAATATATTTTAGAACCTAGTTAACATTATCTCACATTACATTGAAATTGAGAACTGAAATATCCCATTTTGATAATAAAACGTTAGTAAAATGTTAAACTGCACAGTAAAGAATGTGTGTGCATGTGTGATCTTTTCTCTGGTGCCACTTATTCAAAATTTCCTATAGCATTTGCTTAAGTGGGGAATGAGCCTAATGATGTATCATATATTCACTGCGTCCAAAGTTTATTCTAATTACAAAAGTTTTAAGGAAATTGACATCTCCCAACTTATCTTGATTCTAAGAGACCACTTTATTGCTAATGATAATAATAATAATGATGATGATGATGCTCAGGTTAACTAAGCAAAGATGGTATGAACCATCTGAGATGAAGAGAGACAATAAATAGAATGGATAAAAAATCATTCAAATAAAAATGGTCCAGAGCTCGTCTCTTCTCCATAAACCCAGCAGGAACTTTCCAGTGTAAAGGGACACCCTAGGAGAAGCACAGTCAGCTTGAAAGAGGTCTCCTGTTCCAACCTGACCCCAAATCTCTCCTGGGAGAGGAAGCAAGTCGAGCTTTTTCCCCATCAATCCTCGGGGAGGTCGAGAGACCGGGAGGCGAGAAGCCTCCCCAGGCGCCCGGGACACCGGTGCCCGCGTCCCCGGACCAGGGACTTACCACGAGCGCGCAGCACAGCAACTTGTTCATTGTGGTCCCCGGGAAACCTCAGGCGCTCAGAGGCGGCGGCTGCGGGGTGAGCGCTCCGGTGCGTCTCTGCAGCCCGTGCACTCATCACGTTATATATAGTGTCCCGGCAACAGGAAGTATCGGCTTCGCTTTGATCATTCGTTCCCTATCTGGACCAAAGTTTGCACCTTTCTTTTTTAGGAACCTTGGGCGGGAGCGGGGGAGTGGGGCTGGGGTCCGGGATTAACGCTTTCAGAGCCAGGGCGGAAAGAAACGGCGCGGTGGGGGGTGGGGGGGCGGTGGGCGGTACTGGGACGGGGATGTCTGGCCCCTGGGAGGCGGAAAAAAAAAAAAGCCACCGGGCTACGGAACAAGGCGGCTGCTGTCTACGCGCGGCTCTGAGGTTTCCTGACCCCTTCCCGCCAGCGGCCGGCCTCCTGGCAGCCGCGGCCGGCGGTGGGAGGGCTGGGCGCACGCTGGGTAGCTGCTGTGCTGGGCTTCTCCACCCCGAGCGTCAGATTCAGCCAAGATCCGGGCGCAGCCTGCAGTGCGTCCCAGACACCGTATTCCACTCTTGTCTGATCCCCTTCTCAGCCGTTTCTGAGCCCTCCAATAACAAGCCTTCTTATTCACGCACCGCACTGCCTCAGAGCACTGCTCTGGGAGTTTGCAGTCATTAATCTCCAAGGTTGCATAGACATGTAGAAGAAACTCCTCTAACTTGTCTGGTCCTAAAGCCCATGCTTTTTCCTCTTCACCGTTTGTCGCCTGGGGTAGTTAGAGCCAGAGATAATCAGCCCAGGAAAACTTCCTGCCTAGGGCAGGAAACACCTTGCAAGCTGCGGGATACATTCGCAGCTGTTTTCTTCATCAACACCATCATCATCAAAGGGTCATTGGTACCTTCTTGTCCTACCTACTGAACTTCTGGAGTTGCCTCTTCGAGGTCTTTCCACCGCCCCCAAGCTGTTGGCGGAAGTCTGGTGCTTTTCCTGAAGTGTTCTTGTCTCCCCCATCCACTCCCACCAGCTGCTTAGCTGAAAGTTGGACTTGATGACGTCTAAAGTGTAGACCCATTTTGAGGGCTTGCAGTTTACTGATTTGCTCTCAGGTTGCTACCAGAACTCTTTGCTTGCGGATGCTGAAAAACCACTGCAGAGCCAGTCTCCCCAACAGGGCCAGGTGTTCAGTTCTGTCTCCTGAGAAGGTCAATTTCGGCTTTTCACCAGAGTTCAAGGAGAGGAAGGTGAAGAGAATCAGAAGAGTGGCGCCAGGGGCAAGTATTACCAGCAGGGGTCAGAGTATCTGCCCTTTCAAACCCACATCTTTCCACCAGGAGGTCCAAGTGGATCCATACACAAGAGTAGAAAATATTTAGAGGGAAAGAATTCAGCTCTTCTGCTCTGACTGTGAATTACAGAAGACAGAAGGTCCTATTCAGCTTTCTCTCTCCAGAGCCTGGTGGTTTCTTAAGTGAACTAGTGAAAGAATGAAGTGAAAGAATGAAGGTCAGGGAGTGGGGACAAAGTGGTATGACTCTAGACCTGCCCCTCAGCTTTTTTTTTTTAAAGATAGATTTTATTCATTTCTTAAAATTTTATTTATTTTTGGTTGCGTTGGGTCTTTGTTGCCGCACAGGGACTTTCTCTAGTTGCGGCGAACGGGGGCTACTCTTCATTGCGGTGCGCAGGCTTCTCATTGCGGTGGCTTCTCTTGTGGAGCACGGGCTCTAGGCATGTGGGCTCAGCAGTTGTGACTTGCAGACTCTAGAGCACAGGCTCAGTAGTTGTGACGCACAGGCTTAGTTGCTCCGAGGCATGTGGGATCTTCCCGGACCAGGCCTCGAACCCCTGTCCCCTGCATTGGCAGGCAGATTCTTAACCAGTGTGCCACCAGGGAAGCCCTGCCCCTCAGCTTTTGAACTTCAGTTTGACACCTACAATCTGAGCTACTAGCACCTAGACTGACCATGGGACTCAAGTAAATTTGAGTGTTAGTAGTTAAGCACTATATAAATGGCAGTATTACTGTCTTTCTCAGGATAATGTTTGTCTGGGATACTATCTGAAGGCATTTTCCTTGAACTGTCATATAACGCTAATGTGCAGGAGTCAAGCCTTGGGGAAAACTGATCAAGGATTGAATCCCGCAGTGTTAACCCTGGGAAAGTTTTATGACTGCCTAAGCCTCAGTTTGCTCATCTGTAAGATAAAAATAGTACTGCTATTACAGAAATGTGGGAAGGAGCAAATGAAAGCATTTTAAAAAGTATTCCATAAATGAGATTAATCACTAATTGTGAGCGCTAAATAAAGGAATGCATGTAAGATAACTCAGCACAGTGCCTGGGCCATAGGAAATATTTACTAAATTACAGCGCTGATTATTCTCGGGGAGTAAGTAAGATACCAGGCTTTACAGCCAGACTGACTCCTATACTTGAACCCCAGATCTACTACATCCTGCCTCTATGACCCCGGGCAAGTTTTAACTAACTTATTTGTGTTTCTGTTTGGTGTCTTAATCAGTATAATGAGGATAAAAATCATACCGCCCTCCGAGGATTATGAGGGTTATTATGAGGATTACATTGGATAAAACATGTAAATCACTCAACATAGTGTTTAGCACGTAGTAAGTGCTCACTAACTCTAGCTGTGGTTATCATTCTTATCCGAGGTGCTCGTAGAGACATTTATAGGAGCACAAGGTAAGTCGGGACTACAAGCTCCTGAGGGCAGGAATCATATGTTTTCCTATGATATTCCTTGAAACTTTTAGCTCAGCGTCTGGCCTCCCTGTAACTATTTGAGAAAAGCCAGGGCACCATTTGTCTAGAGTCACAAAATAGTCTGTGTATTGACTGTGCATGTCGGGGCCTGACCGTGGGCTGTTTATTAATCACCCACTGCCAGGAAACAGACACTCTGAGTTATCAGTCACGTCATTTGTTATATTCTTGGAGCAATCTGGCCAGTCCCCCTGGCTCTTCCCATGTGACCCACTACAGTGAGTAGCAGGCCCTGAACACTCAGAAGCTGGAGTTCACCTTAAGCCTGGATTGGAAGGGACCCGGGCATTCGGGACTGAATCCAAGTGGAAATGTCTGAACATTCACTTGGTAGACAGACTACACCCATCTTCCTGTGACAGATCCTTCACTGGCAGGGGCCATTGAACAGAGTGGCCCGTAAATTTAACCTTCTGTTTCTGGGCACCAGAGACGTGTGATGTTGACTTTCTAGGTCATCTAATCAGATGACCCTCATCTTCTCTTCCCTGAACTCTTGAGTTTGACCCCATGTTGAACACATTTTCACTGCACGTGTTTCTGATGGCCCTTGCTTCTGTTTCAGCCATTTGTATGGCTTAAAGAAATCGTGCCTGAATATTGGGAAGCCCAGGAGGAAAACACTTCCACTCTTCAGCACAGCAGCAAAGCACCTGATACAGGAGGCCATTTATAATCATCGTTATAACAGAAATGCCTGAAACGCAGGACAGGGGTTGATTTAGGTCCTTTGGGAGACCAGGCACACAGTGGGCTCTGAAGTGACTGATTGAATGTCTAGAACATATTACACCTGAGCTCCCACACCTGAAAACTGGAAATACAAGTTCTGAGGTTACGTAGAGGAAAGGTTATTAACTAGAAGAACAAGAACATATTCCTTGTTATTTCATTGTTAGTAAATCTTTTTCTGATCTTGTAGGAGAAGGAACAGAAAGAAAAGAGGAGAAATATGCAGTTAGCCTATTGATTTTCTTTTATTAATGTTTGCCCGTTTCTTCATTAACAAACACAATTTTAACTATTAATATTCTACACAAAGCTATTTGACTTTCAAGGTGTTATAGACTCTGTACAGAAATGGACATGTACTTGCTTTAAAAATAACGTGCAGAAAGGCAAGCACTTTCTGCTTGAGTAAGTCACCCATTGTTTAAGGATCTGGAAGTGTTGCCAGGGGTCAGTAAGGGCTAGTTATGGTTTCCCACTCAAGCGTAGTGTGACTTCAACATTGTCAGTCATTCGTTAAAATAACGCTTTCGTTGAAAGCTCGTATTAATCACACAATCACACAAATATAAATACATGGAAAGAAATAAGGTACAGTTGGAGCAACTGAGCCAGTATGATTTTAAGCCACATCTTGTGTATATTAACTAGTAGTGAGAAGATAGCCCTTGGGCAGGAAGGACAGGGTGTCAGCAGACCTCGAGGTGAGAGGAAGAGAGTTGTAATTTCCAGCAACTAGGAGAAGCCCAGTAAGGCTGGTACACGGAGAGCAAGGTGCTGCCTGGGCTGGAAGAGGCTGCAGAGCCGAGTGGACAGTGGTGAGGCTGCAAAGTGTAATTGATTCTAGTCTTTCTCCAAAAAACCATAGCAAGCGCTGGAGGGTTTAAGCACAGGAGTGACATGATCATTATAGCTTCTGTGGGATAGAAATTCTCTGACCTTCATCCTGTCAGCCTCAGGGTCATAGGTCCAAACGTAGTCATACAAGAGAAAGCCCTCTTAAACTAAAAATCACAGCATAAATTGAAAAGTATTTTTATTAGCTTAACTAAGTTTAAGCTTTTTTAAATGCCTGCATATGGTAAAAATTCAAATAGTATTAACACATACACAGTGGAGGGTAAATTTCCATTTCGCTTCAGACCTCCACTGCCCATTTACAGAAGCTTCTACTATTAATGATTTTTGTGTGATTGTTCAGATCATATACAAATACATGTTTATGGATAGATATCCTGTTGTTTCGTGCAGAAAGGAGCATCCACTACAGTGTTCCAAAGGTTGCTTCTCCCCTTGACCCTGTTTCTGTTCCATACCAGCACTGTGTCTGAGGGCTTCAAAAGAGAGAACTTAATACGTGATGGAACTGGTTACACAGGTTATAGAATCGCTGAGAAGTCAAACAGAGGATGATGAGGCAACCAAGACGTGAGCAACAGCGTGAAGCTATTACCTCCCTACCGTGGTGGGTCAAAGGGAAGAGTTGGGGGCTTGTCTCACCAGAAGGAAGCCGGAGCCGCAGTGGCTCTGTCCAGTGGGATCTGAGCTCTATGGAGACAGAGTTGCAGTCAGAAATACTGCCCCTCAAATATCCTTCAAGAGCTTTCCATTGGCCAAGCACAGGCAGGTACCCGCAGACATGGGATGCAGCATGAACTGGTGGGCTCTCCCGTGATACAGAGAAGAACAGGGGGATGATTTGTGAGGGTAAACTGACCAAGGATGGGCACAGACATATATACAAATGTCCCATTCTTTTTCACTGTAGTACAATACTCTAGCGTATGACTATATCGTAATTTACTTAACTAGTGCTCTACTGATGGACAATTCAGCTGCTTCCAGTATTTTTCTATTACAAACCATGCAGCAGTGAGTATTACTATGTGTCCATCTTTGCACATTTAGGTGAGTGGACTTTTTAAGGATAAACTCTTTGAAATGTAATCGGGACCTTTGTCCCAATTTTTTGGTATATGTATTTTACATTTTGTGTATGTATTTTACATTTTGATAGGTATTGGCAGACTGTCTCCC